AGCCAAGAAAGTTTAAGCCTCCTACAGAGTTGCCACCTAACCATCTCATAAAGAGAGTCTGAAAACCCCCATAATTCACCGACATCAGGCCACATTGATTTTCTTTGGCAATGTGGCTTCCTCTTGGCCAACATTAGACAATGGCTTGACGTGACCAGAAAATGAAACATCTGACCTTCAGATTCTCCATGATCTAGATAACTGCTGTCACTGCAATGGCAAATGGTTAGATTTCAGATGGTTAGGGCTTTTCCTTTCCCCTCCACTGTAGTCCTCTGCATATCTTGCTTCTTCTCTCCAGTTTTTGGGGCACACGCTGACCTCTTAAACTGCTTGTCCTGCTCTTCCTCTGTCCACCAGACTTGCAAGCATTCAACACAGGAGAACCCACTTCTCTTACTCAGCCTTTTCCTCTGCTCAACCCCAGTCACTTCTCTCCTCTTCCTACCCAACAACCTGCAGGCAACTCTCTGGTCCTTTCCCCCTCCCCTAAGCTGCACTCACAGTTGCTCCTCTTGTCTACCCAATCCCCTCAACCTTGCATTTTTTTTTTTTTTTGTAATTGTTCTTTCTATGTTAAACCAGGTATTCCCTGTGGCTGTAGCTGTTAGAGTGTCAGTATAATGTTAGAGTGTTAGTGAAGTAGCATGCTAGGCCAGGCTGTCAGGCCCCTTGGTGCTAAGAAACAGCTGCTTTGCTTAGTTAGGATAAGTCAGGGCCATTGGGAGATTCCACCTTAGTCAGGATGAGTCAGGCCTACTGACCAGTGTCATGAGCCCTATATACAGTGACCAGTGCTGCGAGCCCTATCTATAGAATACAACCGGATAGCAGGGCATTTGTCTGGTTCCAGGAAACAGGATGAGCTATTGATACCCAGAACCCATGGTCATGATGTGTTTGAGGTATGTTACTTTGATTGGACAATGTGTTACTTTTTAAATTGATTTGCTGTGTTTGGATTTGTGCAGGGTATGATGGATGTAACACCCAAAAGGGCCTGTATAATCACTGGCCTTTACTGATTAGGGGTCCGACCCCTCCTTGGCTGGCCTGTGTACCCCAAGAATGGCCTGACCCCAGCATGCTGCTTGCTATTGCATTACCAGCAAGACTCTGTCATTTCTGAGGGAGTGGATGAAACTGGACCCTAACATAGCTTCCCTAAAGGTTATTTTAAGGCTAGCTTAAGCACTTTTTTATCCTACTTGGAGTGTGGTATGTAAATTCCAAACCCTCCCCCCCACCACCACCACGCACACACCTCCAGAGGGTCAGGGAATAGAAGATAAGTCAGTTAACATCACCTTAAAAACACCTGCTTTGTTCCTTGCTGAATTGCTCCTTTGTTTTGTAACTGAATTTAACAGAGCCCACCAAAAAAAAAAAAAAAAAAGGATATTCATTCATTCAGATCCTCATATAGATCCCCTAGAATGATTTTTGTAGTTAAAAATTAAAGTTTAAATGAGATAAATATCTTCTAAGGGTAAACTTAAATACTTTTAACCTGTTATGTTTTAGGAACATAGTTTATGCATTATTAAATATAGCTCTTGGGCCCAGCAATGTGGCCTAGCGGCTAAAATCCTAGCCTTGAATGCTCCGGGATCCCATATGGGCACCGGCTCTAATCCCGGCAGCTCCACTTCCCATCCAGCTCCCTGCTTGTGACCTGGAAAGGCAATTGAGGACTGCCCCAAGCCTTGGGATCCTGCACCCACGTGGCAGACCCAGAAGCAGCTCCTGGTTATTGGCTTCAGATTGGTTCAGTTCTGGCCATTGTGGCCACTTTGGATGTGAATCAGCTGATGGAAGATCTTCTTTTCTGTCTCCTTCAGAGAGGAGGAGAGACAGAGAAGATCTTCCATCTGATGATTCACTCCGGTGCTGCGCCAATCAGAAGCCTGGAACCAGGAACCTCTTCCGGGTCTCCCACACAGTGCAGGGTCCCAAGGTTTTGGACCATCCTTAACTGCTTTCCCAGGCCACAATCAAGGAGCTGGATGGGAAGTGGGGATGCGGGAATTAGAACCGGCGCCCATATGGGATCCTGGCGTGTTCAAGGTGAGGACTTTAGCCTCTAGGCCACGGCACCGATACCCTAGCTCCAGTGATTTCTAGCTCTGACGCTGTTGAATTGTTTCAAGCTCTGAAATGAATCAATGTACTAAAGCTACAAGTTTTTATATTAAGATAATCTTTGCGTTCTCTGTCTTTGATTACGTGCTCATTGCTTAAAAACAACAAAAATATGTAATTGTCATAAAAATATTTGAATTATCATTTTATGTCAATGATTAAATCTCATCTAAAGTGTATCATATAGAGAGATTCTATTTCTACCAGAAATTTTAAACCTTCTTGACATCCTTGGCAGGCATTCAAAAACTTGAAAGTTTCAAATTTAGTTCAAATTTGGAACTTTGGTATTTTCAATGAGGCTTCCTGGAATTGCCAAAGAATTTCCCTTTCATTATGTAGCAATAATAGCTGATGAGGCCATTTGGATTATACTAGAATTCCTGTCAAGATGCAAGATGTTACAGAATTTTGTTATATGAAAATACTGCTGATAGAAATGTCCACAGGTATTTTAAGTCTAATGACCTTTTTTGCGTGAATATCAACCATAATTGTTACCTTAATTCAAAAAGTCCTTGAAGGTACACCTTTCTATAAAGTTTACATGTGCTTCCTAAGAAACCATAAGAATAAACGGGGATCTCTTTTGTGAGTTAATGAATTTTATGGTGCCAGTCATGTCTGCTTGAAATCTTCTTCATAATCCAGTTTTGTATTCTCATCTACTCTCTTTTGTATTCCAGCTGAAAAAAAACAAGGCAGAGTCACATTACTAGGAACAGGAAGGAATCCCAATCATAGTTTTTCAAGCATCTATGGTCTTAAATTGTTGCTGAAATTGATTTATTGTTCTGTCCTGAACAAGGATCACTAAATAAACACAAGAACTCTCCTTGTTTCATATGACGTAGACTTGGATAGACTGATTGCAACATATATTGTCACTGAATGCATTTGTGCTCAAACAAGTAACTCATGTTATATTCTCTGCTCTCTCCAATGTACAATGTTATCTCATATTTATCTCTTCTCTCACATTTATGGCAGACCTCAGGCTTATGGGGAAATGTTTCCTAAAGCTGTCATTTGATAGTTTTCACTTGATATTGTTATTGAGAGCAAGCGATCTGGTTTCTCCTTTATTTCTCCTCTTCTCTTGCTCTAAGACGATGAGGGACTCCCAGGATGGACAGTCTGATCTTCAGACCTTATAAAACAGCTATTTTTTTTTTTTCCTGTAATCATGACTGGCACATAAAAAAGGCCAAGAAGCCTAATCATTTCCTCATGGGTATTACCTGTCTGGGTGAGTCTGGAGCTATAGATTTCTAGCTCAGGTTTAAGAATTGGGCACCCCCTTGGCTGGCATAGCGTAGGCCACCTCTGTGGTCCACTTCACCAGAGATCAAGACAGACATGAGTCCATCATTCTGCTATTGAAGTATATCCTTACATCCTAGGTATAGCAATGCTGTTTTTGAAGGACTACACTATGGTAATAATTCAGGGGAAATCAGTGGAGGGTGGAGATTAGGGGAGGGGGAGTGAAATCCCAGACTCCATGAAACTGTATCATAACATAATGTTTTTTTAAAAGGGAGAAAAATAAAAATAAACAAAAAGTTCAAAAGCAAGAATGAAATATTATAAAAAACAAAAGCTCAAGGGCCTGGCACCATGCCCTAGCAGTTAAAGTCCTCATCTTGAAAGTGCCGCCAGGATCCCACATGGGCACCGGTTCTAATCCCGGCAACCCCACTTCCCATCCAGCTCCCTGCTTGTGGCCTGGGAAAGTAGTAGAGGACAGCCCAAAACCTTGGGACCCTGCACCTGTGTAGGAGACCCAGAAGAAGTTCCTGGCTCCTGGCTTTGGATCGGCACAGCACCGGCCATTGCAATCACTTGGGGAGTGAATCATCAGAGGGATGATATTTCTCTCCTCCTATCTGTATATATCTGCCTTTGCAATAAAAACAAATTAATATTTGTAGAAAAACAAAGCTTAAATCATTTTAAAAAATAGTGAATACACATTAAAAAAAAAAAAAAAGAAAGAGGGAGAGGAGTGAGCCAGGCAGCAGGAAGCCCAGTAATGTAGCTTCATACAGCGAACCAATGTCAAAGATCTATCTCTCTGTATATTCTTCTCTGTAAATAAATTTTAAAATTCCTCAGCTCTGCCAAGAGCCAGGCCACCAGAAATGGAAGCAACCAGAGATCAACATTGCCCACCAATACCACAAAGCAAAAGCTGGAATGTTAGGCAGGGCAGAGCAAAAGTGAATCCTCTGCTCTGCTCAAGTCAAGTTGATTTCCCAATCCAGGAATCACTCTAACCTTGCCTACACAAAAGGTCCTCACCTGCCACAAAGTATACCCTGTGTGATGAACCACACATCACATGCGTATGGAAAGCCAAGGAGCTCTACCTTCTCCTATCCTCCACACCTAAGGCATATAAAAGCCTAGTGCTGTCCACCTTGGGCAGCCATTTCCCTTAGGAGAGTATGTCCATGTGGAAGTGGCCCCTGTGACAATCTAGACAATAAAAAATAGTGGCAGTAAGGTTAGATCCTCTGATATACTTTTGGGGCATGTCCATAACCTCAGATTCTTGGAAAGTCCTAAAAGGGAAACGAATGCTTCTCACAAGAAAATAGCTCATTCCAGGATGAGATCTTGCTTTTCTTTTATGGCTCATATAGTAAACTGATTGTCCCAAATTGGTTTTTGCATATGTAATTGCACATGGAAGGACCTACTTGCCTGATTCAGTTGTTTGCTGCTAGAGAAGTTGTAGCCCTTACTGATGGGATAGCTTAAAAGTGCATGATGGGCCGGCGGCGGGCGGACCGGGCTGGGGCTGGGGCTGGGAGAAGTTTTTGCGCTGCGGCTGGTGAGCGCGGGGTGGGGGCATGGCTGGCCACTGCGGGCACGCTGCCGTGGCTTTCCGTAGGAGGACGAAAAGTTACCCGCTCTGCAGCCAGGAGTTCGTCATTCACAACCGTGCGGACATGGGCTTCTGCCTGGTGCTCTGCGTCCTCATCGGGCTTATGTTCAAGGTCACAGCCAAAACTGCCTTCCTATTTGTTTTACCTCAGTACAACGTCAGTGTGCCTACAGCAGACAGCGAGACCGTGCACTACCACTACGGCCCGAAGGACCTGGTCACAATCCAAATCATCACCATCATCCTGCACGCTCTGGTTCAGGAGTACATTTTAGACAAGATCAGCAAACGACTTCATCTCTCCAAGGTCATGCATAACAAGTTCAGTGAATCTGGACAATTGGTCGTCTTTCATCTCAGCTCGGTGACATGGTGCTTCTACTTGGTGGTGACGGAAGGATATCTAACAAACCTGAGAAGCCTCTGGGAAGACTATCCGCATGTGTACCTCCCCTTCCAGGTGAAGTTTTTCTACCTGTGCCAACTGGCCTACTGGCTACATGCAGTGCCTGAGCTGTACTTCCAGAAGGAGGTAATTCCCCGCCAGCTGCAATATATTTGCCTGTACCTGGTCCACATAGCTGGAGCATACCTCTTAAACCTCAGCCGCCTGGGTCTGATCCTGCTGCCCCTGCAGTATTCAACCGAGTTCCTCTTCCACATGGCTCAGCTCTTCTACTTTGCAGATGAAAACAACCAGAAGCTGTTTAATACCTGGGCTGCTGTGTTTGGGGTCACTCGCCTCTTCATCCTCACCCTTGCTCTGCTCGCCATTGGCTTTGGACTGGCTCGCATGGAAAACCAGGCGTTTGACCCTGAGAAAGGGAACTTCAACACCTTGCTTTGCAGGCTGTGCGTGTTGCTGCTGGTATGTGCCGCCCAGGCCTGGCTCATGTGGCCCTTCATCCACTCCCAGCTGCGGCACTGGCGGGAATACTGGAACAAGCAGAATGCCAAGCGGAGAATGCCAGCTGCCTCTAGACTACCAGCCAGGCTCCTGAAGAGGGAATCGGGGTACCATGAAAATGGAGTGGTGAAAGCAGAGAACGGAACCTCCCCACAGACTAAGAAACTCAAGTCTCCCTAAGGCCAAAGTGCGGAGCTCGGGCCTGCTTGCACTGGGGGCCCAGCCCCTCGGCCTCTGCCTTCCTGCTTGCCATGCCCTTTCTCACACAGCAGAGGCTTGTCTTCAAAGGAGGGCATTCTCCTTCTGGCTTCTCAGCTTTCTCCAGCTTCACAAACCCCTTTCAATAAAGCCAAAAATCTTCTTCTTTCTCTCCCTCCAACCCCCTCTACTCTGGGGAGGGAGGTTGGGTTTTCCCAGAGGTTGTCTTTCGGCCTCTTCTTGGCTTGTCCTCCATGGCTGCTGCCTTCTCTTTTCGTCTCTCTCTCTCCGTCTCACCTCTGCGTGTAGTTTTTCTCTGCTCTTTCCAGTGGGAGGGAGCTAAGACTGTTGTCCTGGGCTTCTCAATCTGGGGGTCCCGGGAAGCTCTGCACCCATGAGCCTCTGCCTCGGGCTTCCAGCATGCCCCTTGGCTGGTCCTTATGTGGGCGGGCAAGGAGAGGAGAGACCAGTCCTACCCGGATCATCATCTCCTGGTTGTTGATGATCTAACAAGATGCATGATTCCAACTCTGCACGAGGCATCGCGAGGCACGGCAGCCAGTGCTAGTCAGACACACCAAGGCCTTTGTCTTTGGAATGTGGCAACTCAGTCCAGATGGATGGCTGTCCACTGGTCCCCTGACTCAAAAGAGTGGCTGGCTTTGGACTGAAAAAAAAAAACAAAAAAACAGCCTGCCCGTCGCTGTTCCAAACAAGAGCAGAGCACGCCAGTAGCAGCAGCCCCTTCTGCAAGGGGGAGCAGCAGCAGAAGTGACAGCACTGTCAACCTCGGCCTTTGGGCCCCCAGCTGCAGCGGCTTCTTCACCAGCATTCAAAACCAAACCAAACAGCTCTTCATAAACCCACCCCGGACACGTTGGTCTACACGCCAGGACCAGCCCGCCTGTCCCAGGCTAGGCTTGCTCTCTTTATTTCCTCTCCCCGGCTGCAGCAGCACAAAGCCTCCAGGATACCAGCCCCACCCCAGTTTCCTTGTGCCCCTGGGAGAGCCAGCTGTGACTTCCCTCACTGCATGGTGAATCGTTGTCACTCGTAGATGAGCACAAAACCTGGACTGGCTCAGACTCGCTCTTTGGGGTGAATGAACGGGCATAGCTGCATGCTGGGCATCTTCTGCCCTAGGCCCCTCCCGTGTTCTTTCCCTTCGTCTCCTCCCCCATGACAAGGCTTGCAAGTCTTCATGGTGGTTTATGAGGACTTCTGGAAGAGGAGATGGGTCTGGCCAGGTCCTCCTAAAGGGCTCCTGGTCTGTGCTGAGGCAAAGGGGTCATTCTTGGCAGGCGCAAGGATGTTTGTGTGATTGCTACATGGCTCTGATTTTTGAGATCACGGCAGAAACCAGACCTTGTGTTTTAATCCAGAAATGGGGGAAGGTGGGCCTTTTCAGCAAGGCACTTCTCTTGAACAAGTCATCTGTATTATAGCTAGATTACAATGGCTAGTCACTGAGGGCCACCTTTGGAAACCTTTGTATCCAGGGTAGAGTTGTAGAAATGGGAAGAGCTACCCTGGGCTGCCTTTTAGTTTGCAAGGGAAGGTAGGTGACATTTTGGCAGTTAGGCTTTTCTCCCATCCCTCTCACCTTTTCAGATCTGAAAGGCCCTCGGCATTTCTCTCAGTCCTGCTGTAGTGTCCCTGAGTTCCTGGGAACTGCCAGTGGAGGGCGAGCGCAGCCAGCAGCCTCCCCCTTCTTCTGTGTCCTGGGAGGTGCCTTGCCAGCTTCCTGCAGCAGCTCCCTCCCACCACCACTGCTCCAGAGTCCAGTGTCTTCATCAAGCACACGTGGTAGTGCTGATGACATAGTGGGTGCTGGGAAGGCAGGGGCTGCGCTCTCCGGCTGCCTGTCTCGCTGTCCTGGGTTCTGGAGCCAATGTGGCTTTGTGTTCCCTTAGTTTCCTTCAGGCTTCCAGCTGTGCCCATAGACCATGCCTTGGACCTGGCCTCACTTGATGGCAGTTGAGCTTAACTTGGGCTCTGTTTTCTACAGGGCAGAGCTTCTGTTCATTAGTAGAAGTTAGTAAAATCTTTTCTGTTAAACAAATCCTGGGAGTATAAATAAGATTGGCATCTCTCTAGCCTGAACATGGTTCATGTTCACGGGACTGGAGAGTAATAGAGCACTTTTTCCATCCTCTCTGCCAGCCCCCTTCCCCTGGCTTCCCTGGGACATTGATGTCATGGCAGGGTCAAGTCTTTGGCAGGTTGACACAATTGTCTTGCAGGAGCTCGTATAGTTCTGCCTCCCACTGGGAGCCCATTGGGCTAACCTGTCTTAATTTGGCAGTTTTGTATACTCCATCTTGTCCCCAAAATACCTACATATGAGGAAAGGCCCTGCCAGACACTTCCAAATTTGAGAGGTTGCCCCGGCACCATCTGCCAAGAGCGGAAGATGCTCATCTACCTCAGTACCTGTTGCCTCTGACATCCCTGGCTGGCATCCATGTGTGGGGAGGCCAGCACCTGGCAGTGGGAGGGAAAAAGGGATGGTGTTGATCAACAGGAGTGGGGGGCGTGCCCTGGGGTTGACGCCCTCCCTGGTGTGCCTGGAGGCAGGGATTTCTGAGGGAAGGGGAGGAAGGGTAGCCAGCTGGGCCAGGAGGTGAGCTCATCTCTTACCTTCTGGTCAATTCTAATGATATGAACCTGCACCTCCCCCTCCCCCAGGCCCAGATGGATGCTGAAAGTCTTGGCCATTCCCATCTCCAGGTAGTCCTTACCACCGTTTCTGCAAGCCAGGTAGACATGTCTATTCTAGTCACCTTTGCAGGGGCTGTAGACTTCTGAGAACAGCCGTGTTCCCTAGGGGTGAGTTTGTGCTTTTGGGGCTTCACTGTTCCATCACCCTTGACCTTCCCTCTGAGCTGTGAGAGAGTAAAGATAGAGAGTGCACCCATGGGTGGTTTCATTACAGCAACTTGCCAGTACCCATGGTGTCCCTCGGGGACCTCCCAGCCTGGGTGAGCGATGGGAGGGTGGCCTGGGCATCACAGTGGACAGACTTCAGTCTGCTCCCCTGCATCTCTGTCCTTGCAGTTACAGAGGGCTCTTTGCTTCCCAGTTGCAACCCGGTCTCCTCCCGAGCTGCAGGAAGCTCCACTCGTGATCATAGCACCTAAATAGACTCCGGGTGCGGCCCAGCCCAGCTAGGGAGGTCCTGCTGCTTTCTCAGTTCTGTTCCCTTTTCTTCGGGATATTAGTCCCACCTCCCAGAAGGCTGGAAGAGACCACCACACTCATCAGCTGCCTCACCTCCCCCCTCACTCTTGTATGCAGAAGTGCTGGAAGCTGAGGGGTCTGGACAGCTTGCCATTCATGCTCTGCCACCTTCTTTTCTTTTTTTCTTTTTTTTGTCCTGAGCAGTCCCTTTCTCATCTCATGTCCTAAGTGCCTTATCTTCACTTGTACTGTATGCCCAGCGCCCACTGCCAGGGCACTAAGAGCTGAGTGTCGTGTGCATCTGAAGACACCGTACCTCAGTACAGTCACATAGAAAAGGGATGTGAATTGCTGGTTTCGCCTCATTCATTGCAGCCGCACCCCCACTGCTGTAGGGTCTCTGCTTTTTGTCTAGTTGTCTGCCTTGTGTCTGTGCCCCCCTCAGGCCTGCCGGATGACTGAAGACGCCTGTCTGGGCCAAGGCTGAGGCACCTGAGCTTTGTGCCTCACAAGGGAAGCTTAGAGGCTCCCAGGTCCTCCTCACTCCCAACCTGCTGGGCTGCTGGCCCCACATAGCAAGCCCTGTGCCTCCAGGCCCCTGATACCCCAAAATTCACTCTTGTGGTCACCTCTTTCCATCTGTTTCACTGCCCATTTGACCCAAAGTTGCTATGAAAAGGTGTTTACTTGGACTTGCCAGTCTCTAGTGTTAAACTCTTAGATAACCCATTGGACAGTGGGTCCAGTCTGGCTGTTGCACACCCTTCTTGGTCCTGCTTCAGTGTTAAACCTTGTGTGATCAGCAGCCACCTCTCTGTGCTCTGCCCCTGCCTGCCTGCCTTTTCCTTGCTCTTCCGGGTTGTGCAATAACCCTCCCAGCCAATGGTCTTGTCCACAGGCCTTTTTGTTCCTTACAACGCCCTGCCATTGGGGAAAAATTGAGACTCAGAGGAGGGGTAATCATCATCCCTTAGAAAAGATATGTCGGGCCCGGCGTGGTGGTGCAAGTGGTTAGGGTCCTCGCCTTGCACACCTGGGATCCCATATGGGCACCGGTTCTATCCCAGCAGCCCCGCTTCCCATCCAGCTCCCTGCCTGTGGCCTGGGAAGGCAGTCAAGGACGGCCCAAGGCTTTGGGACCCTGCACCCGCGTGGGAGACCCGGAAGAGGCTCCTGGCTTCGGATCGGCATAGCATTGGCCATTGCGCTCACTTGGGGAGTGGATCATCGGACGGAAGATCTTCCTCTCTGTCTCTCCTCTCTGTATATCTGCCTTTCCAATAAAAAAAAATAATAAAAATAAATCTTTAAAAAAAAGAAAGAAAAGATATGTCAGCCACGTACCCTTGGTTGCTGTCATTCTTGTGTTCCCGGGTGGTTTCTATGGTGCTCCTGTAGAACATGTAGCATCATCTTACCAGTACATCTACCTGGTTTACAGTCTGTTGAAAACCAGCCCATCCACATGATGGGATAGAAGTCTGCATTGGAACCAGATCTGACGGGATGCTCAGCTGTCATCACCGTTCCCAAGCTTAAAAGCGTTCCAGAATTTGTTGTTCATGTGGAGGAGACAGTTTTTTTGTTTGTTATTTTTTTTTTGAGAGTCCACCACAGGTGGGTAGCCCTGTTCATCTGGAAAGATGTGGCTGCGATAGTAAGGGCCACCCTTTCCCTGGGTACAGATTCCAGTGTTTATGTGCTGAGACTATAAACCTCATTTTTCGGTTCCTCTGTTTCATAAACACCTGAAGGATGAGCTGGGTCTGCTAGTGCCCTGAGCAACTCATAATGTAAATGTGGACATGATGTCTCTTTGTTTTTCTCCATTAGCCTGTTCATGTTATGGACCAAATTTGAACAAAGAACTCAAGGAAAATTTGTACTTTCCACATTT